TCAGGGTCAGAGGATTTGAGCTATGAGGCAGGGAATGCTTGAACAGCATTTGAGAACGTCACGTAAAATGTGGGTTAGGTAACAGGAAACCTCCTGTGACTGTCTGAATACACTGTCCTCAGTGAGCTGCTTCTGATCAGAGAAATGCATGTAGAAGATGGACACACACAGTGATATAAATACAAAAGTCTGTTATTATTGTTGTTGTTAACATGTGATTTTTATTTTTTTTAATTTTGTTTTTTAAGTTTTAACATTTACTCTTGGTTCAAGTATAAATTGTTCAAAATGTAAGTCATATATTAAATAGAAGTATATTGACATCAAGTAGTCCCAGCAGCTCTCTAAGTTAAATTACTGTATCTGTCAAAAGCAGCAATGACCTGTAAAGATACTGCAGCGCCCTCTGCTGGTTACTTGTAGTTTTTTCAAAGCGACACAACAGAATTAGTTGCATATCGACAGAGGTGGGTAGTAACGAGTTACATTTACTCCGTTACATTTACTTGAGTAGGTTTTTGAAAAAAATGTACTTTTAAAGTACCTTTTTTGCACGATACTTTTTACTTTTATTTGAGTGCATTTGTGAAGAAGAAACTGTACTTTTACTCTGCTACATTTGCAAAATTCGACTTGTTACTTTTTAAAAAATAATTAGTTTAACACATTAGATAACATGCCGTCAGTGGAGTTTCCGGTAACTTTTTTACCAATCAGATGTGGCCATACAGTCACATGATCAGTTTGAAACTGTGGCAGACAGAGCAGCCCAGGAGTTTCAAAGTAGCAGCAGAGGTGGGTCGAGTATCCAAAAATTGTACTCAAGTAAGAGTAGCATTACTTTAAAATATTATTACTCAAGTAAAAGTGAAAAGTAGTCTTCAAAAAAGTTACTCGAGTAAGAGTAAAAAAGTACTTGGCAAAAAGACTACTCAGGTAGCGAGTAACTGTTTGAAATGTCCGATTTATTTTATAAATAAATGCTATCAGACAAACAAAATAAATAAATACACAAATTTTAGTATTTTCAAAAGGAATATGTAAAAAGATCAACAAAATAAGGCACAACAATTCTAATTTCAAGATTTTCACAACAAGCTTTTTTCACCAATACCTACAGTAAATAATATAAATATATAAACAGTGCAAACAGAGTATGCTTGGGGAGTGTGATCGTGTGTACAGCGTCTCTTTATGTCTGTCTCCACGTTGGTTGAGTGTGGAGTAAGTGCATATGAGAGCATGAGGGTGGGAATGGATGTTTGTATATGTGTGTGCCTGTATTTCTGTGTCTATATGTCAGGTTGGGTGTCAGGCGCCACCTCTCTGGGGACATCTCAGGCCCTCCAAGGTTTGGAGGCCTATCTCCCCCTACCACCACTTCCCCTGCCAGTGGCGGACTCCCTCAGACATCGGTGCGTTGGTGGTTCTTTGTGTCCGGGGATGGGCGTCCAGGTGCTGCACAATAATGTTTAATATTTAGTATTTACTGTCATATTCCCATATATCATTGTGATGCTGTTTATTCTAGTACTCTTGTTCTCTTCTGCTTGTTTTCTTTTTTCTTTCTCAGCAGGTGATCCAGGTGATCGATATATGCATTTTTTTTTTCTCTGCCCGTTCTGTTGGTTTTTGTTTTTTGCCCTTCTCCCCCGTCCCTCTTCTCAGCTGTTTCTCTTTCCCTCTTTCTTTCTCCCCTTCTTTCCCCCAGTTAAGTCTGTCCCGTATTCAGTAAGTGAAAATAAAATAAACAATAAAAGGTGAATCAAATGGACCATTACGGCAAGGCTGGGATGGTCAATTTGGTAAAGTAAATCCGTTGGGCATCTTTCTTTGCCTTTAGACAACAATTCTGATGGCAAAAGAGTCAAACGGGACAAAACAAAAAAAACAAAAAAAAAAAAACCCAAAAAAAACCAGTGCAAACAATTTCCAGTGACAAGATATGCTGTAAACTATATATTCATTTTTGCTCCAAATGGCAGCAGCCTGAGAGAAAACATTAGAACGAGGCAACTTCAACATATGTACATACAAGGCAGCTCAGTTTACCATAAATTGTATGGGTGTGCATCTATTTCTGCAGATTTAGCAAAAATGTGCCATTTCTTAACTCAGTGAGATGATGGTTAAGCTTCAGCAGCAGTTTGCTCTCAAGGTTCTTTCTGTGAAGCTCTAACTGTTTAGCAGTGAACAGGAGTCCTGCATGACTGAGATGTCCTTCACAAGCTCCAGATGCAGGAAGAGCTGTATTGATTTTGCTCAACAGCTTCTTGCTGTGAGGAACGCCATGCAATAGATCCACACCTACAGTGAATGGACATGAAAAGAGACTACATGTTGCTTTTTTATATACAGTACAGATGTATAATTATGATTAATTTGCAGTTCTTGTTGGTGAGACATGTGATTTTATTTTATGTTACTTCAGAATCAGAATAATTTACTAATACTCAAGGAAATTATGTGGGTTACAGTTGCTCCAAGACAGTAACAGACTAAACTAATTATGTAATACAATAGGTTGCAGAATTTGAAATTTTAAAAACAGGACTAATATAACAAATTGCTCAATCATAAATATCAAGAAGACTGACAAGAATATTACAGAGGTGAGAATATATATGACTGACATTTGACTCTAAACTGTGAACTTTGGCATTTGCTATTTTACTGTAGAGCATGTGCAAAAGGGTGTAACTATTGAAGTGTTTACAGTGTATTAGATGGAGGAGTTGTACAGGGAGATGGCCACGGGCAGGAATGATTCCTGTGGTGCTTTCTGGTAATCTCAGTCTCTCGCTGAACGTGCTCCTGTGACTAGCCGGCACGTCATGGAGTGGGTGGGAGGTATTATCCACCTTTGTCCTCATCTGGGACAACATCCGCCTCTCAGACACCACCTTAAGGGAGTCCAGCTCCGTCCCCACAACATTACTGGCCTTGCAGATCAGTATATTTAGTGTGTTGGCATCAGCAAACCTCAACCTTCTGCCCCAGCATGCAACAGCATAGAGGATAGCACTGGCCACAACAGACTCATAGAAAATCCTTAGCATTGTCCGACATAACTTTTGGTCAATCTGAAATACCCTTTGGGTATTATAGTACAAATGAACTTTAACCATCCCTCAGTTTTGCTACTATACTTCCAGATTGCTGTTAGAACTATTAACAAGTATCTCACATTTACCTCTATAAATGTGACCTCTATAAAAACTGAAGTTTTGAGAATTCACCCCAAGATCAGATTGTGAAATGCTCAGGTAAATTCAAAAACACATCTCAGATAGCATGTTAAATGTTAAAGTTCATGACAGTACAGTTAGAAAAACATTGAACAAGCAGGGCTTGTTTGTGTTGCAAGGAGAAAGCCTCTTCTCTCAAAAAAAAGAGCATGGCAGCACAGCTTAGGTTTCCAAAGTTTCATCTGAACAACCACAAGAATTCTGGAACAATGTCCTCAAGACCAGTGTGGAGATGTTTGGCCACATTTGGAGAAAACCAAACACAGCATATCAGTCAAAACACGTCACACCGACTGTCAAACATGGTGGTGGAGGCGTGATGATTTTAGCTTGTTTCGCAAATCCCAACCTAACTGAAATGTTGCAGCGGCACCTTAAGAGAGCTGCCCATAAATGAATCCCCACAAACCTAAACAAACTGAAGCAACAAAGCAAACAAAATGAATCCACACTGATGTAAGACACTAATAAAGTCACACATAAAACGTTGATTTAAACTTGATGTTGCTAAGTGGTTCTACACAATACTGAATCATCTGTAGCGTGTGTGTTGTTTATATGGGGCTAAACTTTAGCTCCATATAAACAACACACAAATGGAGTTTAATTGAATTTTTCACATGTTGGTAACTGAACCTGAACAAACCTGATCGGGGACACAGTAGTTTATGCTATTTCTGCTAAAACTTAGTGTGAAAGTGGGAAAATAAGTAATCTTGAATGCATATAGTATTTTTTTTATGGTAGAGAGGGGTTAGTAATGTAAGACACACTTGTAGAAATATGAATTGACCCATTTTTACACAAAACACACTTTATTTTGCCACGGGGAGTCATTATGGCTCTGAACACTGCAAGTGACCCAGTTCAATTTTTTATCATTTTAATGATAGCAGCTTGATCACAGCTCTAAATATGCTTGTGTAGCATTTATGGGCTATCACATGTATTGTTGCTCAGACAATTATCGAGAGCATTTTGAGTTTATCAGTGTACAGACGTTGGTTGTTGCATGAATGGATGGGACTGTTTCTACTGACAATAAAAGGTGACAGATTGTAACTGCAGCTGAGATTTATCAGCTGTCAGTAGCTGTCACAACTACGTTATTGCTTTTATCTGCACTGACACCATTTGATGAGTCGTACTTCCAGGCTTTTGACGATTAGATTCACATGTGATTGCTGTTAGAACCTGCTGCATCCTGCAGCGCGTTAAAGGGAAATCCTGACATTTATACGTACCATACAGGACTCGGGTTACAGAAAGAGCTGTATATTGGAGAAAGTAAGCTTGGGCTTGAAGACAAAAATAAAAAACAGAAACACTACAACTGCAGCATGTTTGAAAGACATCTTAACAAAAAACTTTGCATTTTGTGCCATCGGACATGACAGTTACAACTAAGAGCTTTCCCTTGTCGTTTAGCATGCTTACGATCAACTGCAACTTGATGTTTTTATGTTAAGTGAACAAACTCTTAATAATATCATTATGAAATTATAGTGTACAACTCTGTAAAGACTCAAAAGCTTAGGTGTGCTTCCAAAAAGTGGTCTGTAATGGAGGTTTAGGGCCATATGTGTCCAGCAGGGTCACCTTTCATGACAGCAGCATTCAATCAGGGGTGGGGTAATGTGGAGGAGGAGGGGCGTTACAGATAAACAGTTTTCACTGCCCAAAGTTTGGCAGTTGAGCCACTTTTTTGGCATTTTGTACTCTGAGCTAGAAGCAAAAGAGCTCTGCAACAAGATGTTGTTTGCTGACCTACTGGCCATCATTGGAGGAATGACTGTGACTTTCTACCTTCTGAAAATCACTTGGAGATGTTGGTGTGGATTTAGAGAGTTTGTTTTATCATCAAAATGGCAAGTGGACTTGAGAACATACGGACAATGGGCAGGTAAGGTGTCATGGTCCTGGGTCATTTTGACCCAGTGTTCTTAGTTTTTCTGTAGTTTGTATTTTGTTTCTTATGTCCATTGGATTGTTTGGTTTGGTATTTGGATTCCCCCTGTGTCCATGTTTTTATTGTGGTGTTTGCTCTGGTACCGTGTTCCCATCCTATGTGTTCTGTGTTCTCCTCATCCCCTCGTATTCATCCTTCTTCTCTGCCTCTCTCTCTGCCTCTCTCTCTCCGTGCTCATCTCTGTGTACTGTGTTGTGTTTAAGGTCCACATCTTGGTGTCAGTATCGTCAGTTTCGTGTCCTCCCTGCTCGGCCATGAGTAATTGTCTTCAGCTGTGTTCCCCGTGTGTTCCCACTTCCCTCGTTACCTTCTGTGTATTTATGTCAGAGTGTCCCTTTGTTCTGTGTTGCGTCGTCCCTCTAGGTTGTGTGCATTTTCCGTGTCTTCCCAGCGCCTAAGCTTTTAGTTGCTCCCAGTATAGTTTTGTATGACTTTTTATGTTCCTGTTAATAAAGACCGGCCTTTGAGTTCATCCCCGTGTGTCTAGAGCCGTGCATTTGGGTCCTCTCTTGCCTTCACACAGCCGCCGCATGACATAAGGTTAAAGAAGAGGAATTACAGCGTACTCTTCAAATGTAACAGTGCCAGCTGTGGCGGTTTTAGGGTCAGGACTGCAAAGCCCTGGACATGGTACCTCTTTTCTTAACATTTTTATCATGCCAACTCTCAGATCATCACAGTGTCTTCGGTTTACATAGAACTGACTGGTTTGCAGTCAAAATACATGTGTTATCTGCTGCTATGTTGGCCGCCACACAAATCTCTAAGCTTATCTGGGACAGGTCTATCTATCCCCAGAGCACAAACTAAACAAGGAGAAGAAGCGTTTAATTTTAATGCTCCACGTATCTGAAGCAAACTCTCAGAGAACTAGAGGCCTGCTGCAGCACTCCGTTCATTTAAATCAAGGCTGAATACTCTGAAATCACATTCTTACATTCCACTTGCAACTTTTACTCTTGTGTTGGTTACATTTCCTCCTAAATGCTTCTAAAATTACATTGTTACTTTGGAATGACTCGTTGAGATGAGGCATGCAAATAAAGTTGCATTTGAGGTATATGTTTATCTGCACTAAATATAAAATAGTCTAATTCTACACGTGAATCTGTAACTGGATCTTTTTTATTAATAGATACAATTTTGCCCATGTTTTGACTGCTATTATTCCAGTAAACCTATCAGATGATACTGATTTTTATTATTCTGCTTTTTGATATCCTCTGTCAACTAGCAATCTTACTAGTTGGTTATCACTACATTCACAGTAATGCTGGTTGTGCCGTACTGCTGATCAGAAATAATGGAAGTTTCTGCTTTGAATCCACATTTAAAAATGTATTTTTGTATAAGGAAAGCAAAACACATTATCTTTGTCCACAACAAATCCATGTTTAAAACTCCTGCTGGGTTTGACAGGAGTGTTGAAAGAAATAAAACTGATCTGACGTTTTTCTGCTTTCTCCTCTGTGCAGTTGTCACCGGTGCCACATCTGGTATTGGTAAAGCTTATGCCACTGAGGTGAGTCATCAGCTCCCCTTAACAACACACACACACACACACACACACACACACACACACACACACACACACACACACACACACACACACACACAGCTATTTTGTAGCCGAGACTTTCTTTTGTTACTTTTGTCACTTCTTTTCACGGAAAACAGAAAGTTGTGAATTTCAGTATCTTATAATGTAGCTGCGTTATTACGATGGAGTTTTAGGTAGTGTGTAGTCATGCAGCAATTAATATCGCCTCATGATGTACTGTTGATGTGATAATCATTCTTGCAAATATATTTTTGTTCACGCAGTGTGAAAAATTATCAATTTTACAGCTAGCTTATAAATAAGTTTTCACAGTTAATAAAATTGTTGATAGTAAACTCCAAGACCAAGACATGTGTTTTTTAAGTTCAGAATTATAAAACAATTTGACTGACTTTGTCTCCTTGTTGTGTGACAGCCACAAACTCTCTCTTTTTCTCTTCCAGCTGGCACGAAGAGGCCTGGATATTGTTTTAATAAGCAGATGTGATAACAAGCTTCAAACTGTTGCCAGAGAAATCGGTGAGTTCAAGGAAAATACTACTTTCTGCGGCTATTGAGACAAAATAATCAAAAATATATTGTTTGTTTTCGTCAGAGGGTGTGTATGGAAGAAAGACTCAGACCATCCCAGTGGACTTCACACATGGCTACAGTATCTACACTGCCATAGCCAAGGAACTACAAGGCCTGCAGATTGGAATTCTGGGTAATACATACCCACCTACTTTCCAACTTGCCTTTTTCTTACATACTTACTTACTGAAGCTGCTAATTTTGCATGTCCTTATGCCACATAGTTAACAATGTGGGAATGACCAGTACTGACTGTTTTGCCTATTTCCTGGAAATACCGGATGCTGAACAGGTAAGCGTTGTCGTGTTTTAATGTTATTAAACAGTTAATGAACTGTTTAATATATTTCTTCTGATAACAATCCTTTTTTCATTTTCTGTGTTTTTCTGACCAGAAAATCACTCAAGTGATCAACTGTAACATACTGTCAGTCCCTCAGGTGAGAGGTCTTTGTGGGTATTTCTGAGTAATTTTCACAGCTTTCTCCAATAAATAACCACTGATTGATACCTAAATGAGTTTATGTTGTCTCAATTCAGATGACCAGACTGGTTCTCCCAGACATGGTTAAAAGGTAAAGACAGAAACATTCAAATTTAAAGTGATTATTAGGTAGCAAGGTATGGGATGATGTAATGGATGTCTGCCTTCCATCTTTGACCCAGAGGAAAGGGGCTGATCATCAACATCTCGTCTATGACAGGTGTCCATCCACAGCCTTTGTTGACGCTTTACTCTGCCTCCAAGGTGCTGTTTCAGTATGACGTACTTGCACTCATTGTTTCAGATATACGCTGACCCCGTCACACTGTAATGTTTTCTCACTGGCACACGGTTTGATGATGCTCACTTGTTGGTTTGTCTGTTTTCTTCTTTATTCCAGACTTTCGTAACATACTTCTCTCAGTGTCTCCATGCAGAGTACAAGTCAAAGGGAATTACTGTCCAGGTAAAGTGTGCAACTCTGGTCAAATTTCAAAATTTCATTTTTTTTTTTTCAGTTAAAAGCCAAATAACTCTGGCTCCCTTAATCTCTCCTCAGTGTGTGGCTCCCTTCCTGGTGTCCACCAACATGACAAAAAATGTGAAAGTGAACAGCTTCATGAAGAGCGCTACAGCGTTTGCTCGTGAGGCTTTGAACACCGTGGGTCACTCCAGCTGCACCACTGGCTGTCTATCACACGCAGTCCAGGTCAGTTATAAAGTGCTAAACTGTTATAGCTTAGAAATGATCCCCTCCAATACGTTAACATGTCACTTTTCCAACAACTTACAGAATGCGCTTCTTACAATGCTCTTGCCGGACTGTCTTCGGATGTCGACATTCCTCATTAGGAAACTACGAAGCTCATGCAAGAAAAACGATTGGACCGGTGAAAACAGGGAGTAGTCATGTGACTCCATCTGCACTGATATTGAGGTTGTTTTTTTTATGCAGGAGAAAATTATCACTCAAATATTACTGAATTACTTCAACTCTATGGTGAATAAAACCCATTCACGACTGTTTTAACTCTTAGACAACAAACTGGTTTCACCGTTTTACCTTAGGCATGTTGACATGGTCAAGATGACCTGATGACGTTCAGAATAGGGATGAAAGGTGATCTGTGTGACTTTGTATGTAGCTTGGTTTGCTTTCAATCAAAGGGTTATTTCATACCCCTGAGAGAGTTTGATTGCTCTTTCATACAAATATGAAAAAGTAGTAAACTGATTACAGTAGGGGTTGGCAACCCTAGGCATGCGTGCCACAGTTGGCACGCAAAGGGTTAACTGATGCCACGCCCATAGCTGGACTGGCCGTCAGGCATACCGGGCATTTGCTCGGTGGCCCGGTGACTTTTTTTTTTTCTTTGTAACTGTATAAACAATGAAAGGTGGTGGATTGGCCAGATGCTGGTCGGTGTGTAAAAATAACTCAGTTGTTTGGTGGTGGCTGTCAGGGCAGAGACGTTTAAAGGGGCGGGTGCTTAAAGCTAAAAAGGGGCACATTGAACCAGGCTGAATAACAACAACACACATTCATCAAGAATCTAATATGGGTAACAAGGCAAAGCAAACGTAGCCTATGTTTTACCTGATGGGTACAATGTTGCTGTTAAGGTGTTGCTGCTGCTCCTGCTGCTGATAGTGCTGGAGGGCAGGGCTGTGCTGATCTGAGACTGTAGACATTAAAAACTCCATAGGAGAGATGGTAGCTGATTAAACAAGTGTCATGAGATAATAACAAAATGCAAAGATTGGTGACAGCGCTTGGAACCATAAGGCAACAAAAAACTGAGAAATAAACTAGACTGTGAATCACTCTTTGCTTCTCTTCTTCCTTCCATCCCATCATTTCATATATCACTCTCCACTTGCTGTCCATCTGAGAACAAGGCACAACTTGCTATTGCAATAAACTATTATTTAATTATCCACACTTAACAACTCTTACACTTAATCTATAATAAAATGATGACAGAAAAATGTTATAGAAGCAAAACATTTCAGTTGTGCTTATTATTTTTGTTTATACTGGAATATCTCTCCAACAACTGGTACATGTGTTAATGTTACCTGTGCTCTTTGTAATCCAGCTGCTGAGGGATCCATTACCTTTAGTAGCCTCATACAGCTCCTACTGTTTCCTCCTCATGTCCTTACCAGGAATGTCTGGACAATGTTATATCATGAGTAATAATTTAAAAATCCATATACATAAAACACACACATGCACACACAGTGACATTTTAGACCTTCTTCAGAATACTGTATATACTGTGGGCATCACGGTGCTGATCCAGAATCCTTCCCTTATTATTTATTACTAGAGCTAAAATAATAAAGCAATGAGGGGGAAAAAGTAATAAATATGAAATAATGTATTTATGATGATTCCATTTGTTTCACTATCCACTCTGTGCAGGGAGAAAGCTTATTACATTTTTAAACTGTAGAGATACAATAATTTTGCTGCTGTAAAATCAGCATTTTGTCTTATTTAAAATATAAATCTAATATAATCTGTTTCTTAATGTATGTTCTTTAAAATACAGCGTGTGTTTTTTAAATATTATAATTATAATCATTATTATGTGGACATGCATATTAGATCGTTTTTTAGTGAAATATAATCCCCCCAGAAAGGCAGGAAATACTCTGTAACTTACTTTAAAACTAAATATGTTCCCTAAAACGGTGACAGAGCTACAGACCCATGACAGCCTTACCCAGTGAGCTAGCAGCTATGACCAGCACTACTTGTGCAGTTAGGACAGGTAATGTTTGTCGCGCTGTTGCACACACAGCACGCTCGTTTGTTTCAGTTCGTCAGTTGCCACAAGACAGCTTACCAACGTGTACGTAATAAGCTAATACTCCTGTGTGCTATACACTACAGTGTGCGCTGTACACCTACTTACTGGTTTTGTCGCATCAGTCTGTGTCTCTGAGTTAACTTGTGTTTCTCCTACAGCTCCGGACCGCAAAAAATGCGCGTGCTCTTTGTGAGCTCGTTCCCGGCTCGTAACCAGCGCGTTCTGCGATCATTGGTTAAATGAGATCATGTGACTGATACAAGCCAGATCCTTTTATTTAGCAAAACTGTGATTAATAGTTAAATATTATTGTTGAGGGGCACAGACAGGACTCCGCACGCACACACACATATAAAAAGAAATAATTAAAAAAAAACAAAAAAACAATTGCCTCAACAAAAGGGCACTTTGGGCACCCATCAGGAAAGGGGCGGGTGCTCAAGCCCCTTTCGCCCCCCCCCCCCCCCCCCCTCTGCACGTGCCTGGTGGCTGTGGTGGTGCTTCCTCAGATTCAGTAACATTAGCAAGTGGTGGAGGCCAGCAGGTGGATGAGAGAAAGGGGAGGCAAGAGGAGAGACCCAGGCGGCCGCCGGTCTGAGTGTCAGGTGAACTGAACTTCAGGTAAGAAGTTATGACCTGCAGTCCATCTGGGTCAGATATAAACCAAGTTTAGGTGGAGTTTACTTTCGTTTTGCTGACTTTTTACAGTCAGTTACAATAACTCTTACTGCGTACTAGCTAGCATGACGGAGTTTCTATACAGCTGGGTGGGTGCTTTGATGGTACTAATAGTGAACTTTATTTTATTCATAAGGTTAGTTAGTAGAGTTGCCAACCGTCCTGTAAAAAGACTGAATCGTCCCGTATTCAGAGAAAATATTATGCGTTTCGTATTGAGGTGAAAAGGAACAGTTTGTCCCGGACTTCAGCTAGAATAAAAAAAGACACAAAGCTGGAGTTATTCTGTCATTACGCTGCACAGTTGCCTCTTCTTCTCTCATTCTCTCCCCCTCTCTCACCTGTTGCTACTTCAATCATGAAACGATCAATGATCCGCTGATCGTTTGTTTATCACCAACTTTGCACCAGAAAGAGGAAACCGCCGGATGTCGCGTTAAACAACAGCAGCACGTTTAAGCTTGATCAGCTGTTGTTAGAATGTATTTAGTATTACTTTCTAGTAGCTGATGTTTGCTGGAGCCACAGCTGTAAAAGCTGCTGGCCATGATATCGGTTTGTATATCTGGTGAGAGGGAAACATGCAGATGAAACCAGGAGATGTCCTTACTGAATCATCAGAGCTGAGCAGGGGATGGAGAAACAGGTTTACCTTTTAGGTGACATGAATGAGTTGAAGGGAAGTTATGAACTGTTTCTGAGAGACAAATAACACCAGGATCCTTTTTTTTAATGTAGCTGACAGCTGGTAACTGTGCAGGGGCGGGTCTAGCAAAGTTTTGCCAGCGGGGCCAGGTAGGGCATTAACAGGGAAAGGGGGACACAAAGAAATACCTTCTTATTCTCATTTAAAATGTCTAGCTTTTAATAAATAATTATCTGAAGCTTACAACCAAAGTTTCCATCTGGTGTAAAATGTATAGAAATCATATATATAACATCGAAGCAGCTGGAATCCACAGCTGTGTGTGTTCATGGAGTTTGCATTTTCACCTGCTGGACATCACTACCTGACAAGTTTAACTGCCTTCAGAACATTGCAGAGGCCTTATTGACAGTATTTGGTTCTACATATCTGTGTAAGCAGATTTTCTCACATGAGTGTCCTCAGGTAGCCGTCTGAATGCTGGACAGTCGGAGACCTATGTCTCTGAGTGGGAGACCAGAGATCACATTAACATGTGTGTCTCTGTATTAACAAACATGCCATATTGGCCCAGTTTATTTTTCTTATCATTGTTGTGAGGAGACCATAAATAACATTTGTATTTTCTGTTGTATAGTTCATTTGCTGTTATGGAGTTCTTGTTATGGATAAAAAGTGTCTTTTTTTTTTTTGGTTTCATCTGTGAACAAATATAATTCTATAAAGTGGTTCTATATAGTGTGTAACCGTTAATATAGAGCGTTATTAAATTTATTGCTAATGCAATCATATGGCACACTGACTTCTGAGGAAATTTTAAATGGCACTCGTCATCAGAAAGGTTGCCTACCCCTGGATTACAGTAAAAACACTAATGCAGTAATCAGGAAAGTGAGCAATCAAGAGTGCAAACTGTGTTTTAATGAGATTAAGATGAAAAGTGCATCAACACAACAACTTCTATCTTTAGCTGTGAAGTATGTGGAAAAACTACAGCACTGTATAAAAACAATGAGAAAAGTTAACGTGGGCGGAGTAAATTATTCTGCAGTAAGAGTAGTGAGAATGACTTTTCTGATGTGAGAATTGCACTGAAGGCAAAGAAAAAAAAGAATCGTAATACAACTGGCAGATATGTAGATTTGATCTGTTTTTATTACATTCTGTGGTTTGAACACATAAGTGGTTACAACAAAAATATTAATTTACGTAACAGCTCCAGGGATGACAACAGACAGTGCCTGTGGCAGTAATTTCAGTAATATTAGAGTGCAAGAGTCCAAAAGTGTTCTCATCAAGCACAAACAAGAACACGCTGATGCTTTTTCAGCAGTGACAACAAACTCGGTGTGTTGTGACATCTCATGTTGTAAATATGGTTACTTGAATATTTTGTAAAAATGTGATGAAAACTTGTTTGTCTTTACTGGTCTGAAATGTCATCCTCACCATGAAAGACTGAAATATGATTATATGAAATATATTTGTTCAGCGTTATTGTTATCATTATTTATCACCTCCAACGTAACTGAATAACCCTTTCTGAAGTACTTTTAGAGTCTGCTCTGCTAGCACCAAGTCCAATCCACTTTTTTTTTTTTTTCTTTAAATAAACACAAATAATAGCAACAAATGTATCATTCTAATGTCAAAACTGTAACAATTCCTTTTATATCACTGGGGAAAAAATTCATAAATTGGCATGAGGACATGAAAAACAACAACAAAAACAAATAAATACAAATCTGAATGAATCAGGGTCCC